CGCGCTCCTCTTCGGGAAGACGCGCGGGGACTGGACCCGAGAGAACGGCGGAAATCGACCCTAGGACAAATAGCTTCGATAGAATACATATATTTCCCTCAAATATTTTTCCTGTTGAGAAAATGGGGGGAGGGGTGGTTTTACTTGTTGATCGTGGACGTACTTATAGGGAGATAATGACATTAAAGAGAAGAGTTTATATATAGGTTTTACTGTCAAATATCAATAGTCTTCTATAGAGATCCAAATTGAAAATGGGTATTTTAGTAAAAAGATGTCGCACGAAAAACGGTATTTTTTTGAAAAGGAAATGAATGTGAGAACAACTATAATGTTGCCATATGTAATAAAAATTCAACAGGTTCTTGAATCACTATTGTGATATTTTTGTGACCCTAATTTTAAGAAAGTGGCCAATAATATTGAAATATATTACGACCACTTTGCCCTAGTAGAGAAAAGAATTACTCTTAGAGAAAAGTCACACAGTGCTTCACGATTGTAAGCAAGAACAGATTCATGACTTTTTATTCCTTGTCATCGACTTCTGACGATAAAAGAAAGAGGCAACATTGAAGAGATTACCAGGATAGACACACCTTAAGGGGTAACGACACAGGGGCGGACCTAGGGGAAGGGAGCAGGGGGTGCGCCACCCCCCCCCGGATGAAGCTGAAGCCCTCTTCGTATTCACTTCTAAAATTTGTTTACCTCACCAGTCAGTTACGCTATTCCTTAGTGGTGCACCCCCTCCTAAGAAAAATTCTGGATTCACCCCTGCGACGCCCGAAATCTACGATTGTAGAGTTAGAGAAAGGTTGACGTTTTTGGAAATAACTTTATGCTACAGAAGAAGAGTTAAAGGCTAATTTTAAATTTCGAAAGGCCAAAACCGATCGCGTGCAGCCACTCGCATAAATTTCAACGTGTTGACACTAATCCCTATTTCAAACTTTAATTAATAAGATGGGAGATATATAAATATGAATCACTTCCTTGAAGTGAGATATCGTTTTAACATTTTAAAATCGATTCTATTCTTACTTTACATTCGAGGTAAGCGTTCGCCAGAAGGCAAATACATCTAAAACTACTCATTAATAAAACTTATTTCTTTATCTACAGAGGACTTCTGCAAACTTTGTATCCTGAATTACAATCGTCTTTCCGTCCATGAACCCAAACTAGTATCTCCGTATTGCAGATGTTCATTAGAATCGCAAATCGAGGAAGAACGATTTCGTGACAAGAAATTTCATTCCAAAAGATTGCGTGAAGAAGCGAAAGAATGTCTTAATGAAGTCACACATCAGTTTTCCGCAAATGAAATGTTTGATTGGCAGCGCTCAATCGGCTTCCATAGCAACCAGTGTTCACGACTGAAAATGTTACCATGGAGATGGAATAATCGATCTCTTCCCATCGTTAATAAAGTTAAATTCATAAGATCCTTTCGTTTGTCCATGAAGGTGAAAGGTTTCATCTATAGATTTCAACGAGGGAATATCCAACGAGTTATGAATATAGTTTCGGCACCAATTTTTCACTTGTTAAACTGCTTCTTGGCCAAGATGTGACAACTGAAAGAAGAAACAATGAAATAAATTAACAGCAAAAGAAAACCAATCGTAATCTCTCCTTTCGCCGCTGTCCCGAGTGCGGCCAGTCTTCGCTCTTCCCGGGAAGACAGAGAGGAAGAGCGTGAGCTCATTTTTCTGAACCTTAACCAATCATTGCCTCGGAAAAACTCAACAAACCAATCAGAGCTCAAACAAAAAACATGACATCTATGGTAACCGCGGGTTTAGNACCTAACGATGACAAGCTGGCATGTTGTCATTCGCTCTGATTGGATAATAAGAATCAGACAGTCTTTGCGTAGTTTTATGAGGGTTTGCCAACACGCCGCTCTTTTACAGAGACTATTTACATGAGAGTATTCGAAGGCTACTCAAGCTCCTTTTTTAAGTGTTTCATTCATTCACTGTTGCCATTGGTCAGAAGTAATTGCTTACCAATGTGGCTTTGCTCATGATCTTCTCTTCAGTCTCAAAGTATACATCGAGCTTTCCTGACTGGAAAATACAATAACATTTCTTACGTTAGATATTTTGCCTGTCTTGTTTGCCTAGGACTGACTGTAGTCCAAAATGGCAGATTTTGTACGGTCAAATGCGCTAGTCTGTTGCTCCCGTTAATTAGAACTTAGAACGCAACTGATAAAACCAAAACCAAAGCAAACACTTTAGCCAATCACAAAGGACATTGATTATCCAGTGAACCAATCAAAGCTCGAGGGAAATACATGCAGCTGACGCAAAGCGCGGGAAAACGAGTGCGAACGAGTCGCGATTGGTTTTGGTTTGACTTCTGATTGGATGAAAAAGTGGCGCGAGTGTTTTTAAGCTAATCGTGTAGCATAGTAAGTGCAAAAGCGTTCACTTTTCGACACTCAAATGAAAACCGCTCTAAACAACGCCAAACAGTTAAAGGAATTAGAAACAATGCCACTGAAACAATCGTGTCATCTCCACCTCAACAAGCTCAGTTCAACTAAACTCAGTTCAATTTAACATCGAACTATGACAACAGAAAAATCTATGAGAATAATTATCAGATAACCAAAACATGGTCATAGTTAAACCTGTTGAGGGTGAACACCTCTTACCTTAATGTGATCCAAAAGTGCTGTGGCAATTGTGGTGTGCATATCGATCAGCCTCTTCTTTTCAAGCAACTCAGGAAGTGAACTACAACAGTAACAAGAATATTACTTCACAATGTCATCTACGCCTTAGATATCTTTTGACAACACATTTTACCATAGCCTGCAGTGCGGCCTGCAGGAGTCCGAAAATGGTCACTGTGTGTAGGCTGTCTATGATGCAGGCTAATTTTACCACTGAAAGGAAAGTTTGTAAAAAACGGAAATAACAATATCAGCATGTAACTCCACTGTTCTCAGTCAATAACTATTTATAAGACTCCACCACTTTGAATATTCAGGCTATAAAGTGTCTCATGTTGAAGAGTAAAAGTAGCACTTACATTAAAGCAAATTCATACATCAGATAGAGATATCAGTACATATACCTGACAGCTGATGTTAGTTTAGCTGTACTATCAGCCATCAGTTCACCCATGGCTTCTTCGTTACTCTCATCTATTCCCTATCAAAAACAAAACTCTCCACTATCAATATTAAAAATGATTACCATTACATGGTGGCGTCGCAAAGTCCAATTTTGTTTCCAAAAGACACAATACTTCTGGTCAGATGGCCTGACATTTATCACAGCAAATGCTCTCTCTAAGCATGCATGCACAAAATCAAGCTGGAACCAGGATTTTGTGGTTCCAATTTTATATTTCACCTAGAGCAAAGGGCAGCCAGTCGCCACTAAAATGAAAAACACAAAGGCTGTGGGCACGTGATTGCATGTCAAAATTGCATGGCCATGATATCTTTCATCCATGGCCGGAATAAATTTTGTTATCACCAAAGACCAAGTCCAATAGCAATTAGTTTTTTTGTGATTACCACTGAGTTGATTGATAATGTGGATTGATTGGTTGAAAGAAAACCTCTGATCATGCATGAACAGAACAAAAAGTATCTTAACAGCTGATATTGAGAGAAACAAACCATGAGAAAACAAGCTCAGTTGTTGAATGACAAAACAGGAAACACTGAACATGGTTGAATGCAAAAAGCTGTGATCTGTAAGCATTGCAAACATCAGTGTAATCAATTTGCACCAGCTAATCAGTTGCCTTCAACAATGGCAAATAATGTGATCACTTGTAAACCAAAACTCAAGAAACTTTGCTCAGCTTCACCCAATCATTGCCACCAAACATCTTAGCCAGTCAGATGACAGTTAAACTAGAATGCAAACTTTAAACCCTACCATGACATTTTTTAGTCTCTTGACTTCTTCTTCAGAAGCTCTATATTCATCCAGTTCTTTCTGTATTGATTCTGCCACTGTTGGAAAAGGACTAAAAAACACAAAAGAAAAAAGAATGATTCACTTTTACTAAAACTGAGGGCAACTGAACCATGAACACTCTACATTTTTTGGTACATTTTCTTGGTTACTACAGAATGAGGGCAATTCGTATAATGTACAAGTCATTCTTCAAGTGTCAAAATGATAGATACTCTTGCCAAATATAGAGAACTTGTGTACAAAAAATGTACAAAAAATTTTCAATGTTTATGGTTTAAGTGCCCTCACTGTAATAGGTAACTTCAATCAACCTTATGTTTTTGTAATCCCTTCGAAATTGAAGCAATGAAACATGACAAAAATATAAATTTTTAGGTTTTCCATGATTTAACATAAAAAACCTATCTACAGTTCATGTGAATTCTTTGGAATTGCTTATCACATATCAAGGTTAGAGCCAGACCTTTTTNACCTAACGATGACAAGCTGGCATGTTGTCATTCGCTCTGATTGGATAATAAGAATCAGACAGTCTTTGCGTAGTTTTATGAGGGTTTGCCAACACGCCGCTCTTTTACAGAGACTATTTACATGAGAGTATTCGAAGGCTACTCAAGCTCCTTTTTTAAGTGTTTCATTCATTCACTGTTGCCATTGGTCAGAAGTAATTGCTTACCAATGTGGCTTTGCTCATGATCTTCTCTTCAGTCTCAAAGTATACATCGAGCTTTCCTGACTGGAAAATACAATAACATTTCTTACGTTAGATATTTTGCCTGTCTTGTTTGCCTAGGACTGACTGTAGTCCAAAATGGCAGATTTTGTACGGTCAAATGCGCTAGTCTGTTGCTCCCGTTAATTAGAACTTAGAACGCAACTGATAAAACCAAAACCAAAGCAAACACTTTAGCCAATCACAAAGGACATTGATTATCCAGTGAACCAATCAAAGCTCGAGGGAAATACATGCAGCTGACGCAAAGCGCGGGAAAACGAGTGCGAACGAGTCGCGATTGGTTTTGGTTTGACTTCTGATTGGATGAAAAAGTGGCGCGAGTGTTTTTAAGCTAATCGTGTAGCATAGTAAGTGCAAAAGCGTTCACTTTTCGACACTCAAATGAAAACCGCTCTAAACAACGCCAAACAGTTAAAGGAATTAGAAACAATGCCACTGAAACAATCGTGTCATCTCCACCTCAACAAGCTCAGTTCAACTAAACTCAGTTCAATTTAACATCGAACTATGACAACAGAAAAATCTATGAGAATAATTATCAGATAACCAAAACATGGTCATAGTTAAACCTGTTGAGGGTGAACACCTCTTACCTTAATGTGATCCAAAAGTGCTGTGGCAATTGTGGTGTGCATATCGATCAGCCTCTTCTTTTCAAGCAACTCAGGAAGTGAACTACAACAGTAACAAGAATATTACTTCACAATGTCATCTACGCCTTAGATATCTTTTGACAACACATTTTACCATAGCCTGCAGTGCGGCCTGCAGGAGTCCGAAAATGGTCACTGTGTGTAGGCTGTCTATGATGCAGGCTAATTTTACCACTGAAAGGAAAGTTTGTAAAAAACGGAAATAACAATATCAGCATGTAACTCCACTGTTCTCAGTCAATAACTATTTATAAGACTCCACCACTTTGAATATTCAGGCTATAAAGTGTCTCATGTTGAAGAGTAAAAGTAGCACTTACATTAAAGCAAATTCATACATCAGATAGAGATATCAGTACATATACCTGACAGCTGATGTTAGTTTAGCTGTACTATCAGCCATCAGTTCACCCATGGCTTCTTCATTACTCTCATCTATTCCCTATCAAAAACAAAAGTCTCCACTATCAATGTTAAAAATTATTACCATAACATGCTGGCCTCAAATTTTGTTTCCAAGAGACACAATATTTCTGGTCAGAGGCCCCAACATTTATCTCAGCAAATGCTCTCTCTAAGCATGCATGCACTAAATCAAGCTGGATCCAGGATTTTGCGGTTCCAATTTTATACTTCACCCAGAGCAAAGGGCATTCAGTCAGCACTAAATGAAAAATGCGCAGGCTGTGGGCACAAGATTGTGTATCAAAATTGCATTGCCATGATATCTTTCATCCATGGCCGGAATAAATTTTGTTATCACCAAAGACCAAGTCCAATAGCAATTAATGTTTTTGTCATCATTACCACTGAGTTGATTGATGATGTGGATTGATTGGTTGAAAGAACACCACTGGTCATGCATGAACAGAACAAAAAGTATCTTAACAGCTGATACTGAGAGAAACAAACCATGCGAAAACAAGCACAGTTGTTGAATGACAAAACAAGAAATGCTGAACTTGGTTAATTGCAAAAAGTTGTGATCTGTCAGCATCGCAAACATCAGTATAATCAATTTGCATCACCTAATCACTTGCGTTCAACAAGGGCAAATAATCTGATCACTTGTAATCCAAAACTCAAGAAACTTTGCTCGGCTTTGTTGAATCACTGCACCAATCATCTTAGAATGCAAACTTTAAACCCTACCATGACATTTTTTAGTCTCTTGACTTCTTCTTCAGAAGCTCTATATTCATCCAGTTCTTTCTGTATTGACTCTGCCACTGTTGGAAAAGGACTAAAAAACACAAAAGAAAAAATTGAGGGCAATAAATTGAACCATGAACACTCTACATTTTCTGGTACATTTTCTTGGTTACTACAGAATGAAGGTAATTCATAAAATGTACAAGTCGTTCTTTAAGTGTCAAAATGATAGATACTCCTGCTAAATGAAGAGAACTCATTCCATAGTAACTAAAAAAATGTACAAACAGTTTTTGTAGTTCTTAGTTTAAGTGTCCTCACTGTAATAGGTAACATCAATCAATCTTACATTTTGCAATTCCTTGGAAATTACAGCAAAGAAATATGACAAAAATTATAAACTCCCACAAGTTTTTCGGTTTTCCATGATAGAACATAAAACACCTACCTACAGTTCATGGGAATTCTTTGGAATTGTTTATTACATATCAAGGGTTACAGCCAGACCTTTTTGCACTGCATGTACAGAAGGAGAGGTTTAACACCAAAGGTGCTAACTTTTAATCCTGCCCTCCTTGGAAAATGGTACTACTTCCCACTTTTCAGTGATAGGTTTACATTTATTTAAAAAGCAACATGACTCACATATCACTACTGGTTGCAGAATTCTACTAGGCTTGAAAACACCCATGCAAAGGATTCTACATTCAACATTCGTGGCAAGTTTTCTTGTTTTGACAATGTCATCACTTAGGACATAATGATAATGATGGATTTAGTTGATACATAAATATTTTTCCCATCCAAATGTAACACACCTTCCTTTGTGCAATCCCCAAAACTTATCCATAACACTGAGGTCATACGATTTGACTTTAGCTTGTTTGGGATGTCTGTGGTGAGGATCAGCAGGTTCAGGGTTGTTTGGTGTTGACTCCTTGACAACAACTCTGTTCAGGTGCAAATTCTGAAGATATAGGAGAATTTAACAAGCCTGCTATCACACCATCAGTCATACAACAGCACTTAATACATGCTCATTACAACTGGTAAGCCATAAAAACAATAAAATTGACACAGGCTAGGTTTCTTTTGTATTAAATGATCTTGCCCTTTTGCGACAGTAAAACTTAATATCATTGTTGTAATGACATGGCACTATTGCCCAACAACACTGCAATCACAATAGTAGACCAAGGGCATTTGATCATGTGATTAAGGCTGTATAACAACTGAACTTACCAAGACATCATGTACTAAAGCTTGATATGTCCATGTGTGGTGTAATGGAGTACACAGATCCATGTTACGATCTAAAATTACCAACACTGGTCGTTGAAAACTGAAGTTTATAAAACAAAAACAAAAAGTTACCCTTGAAATGCTTTGACATGAAGGCAAACAAAAGAAAGAGCATGTTCCAATACTAGGCATACAGCAATAATCTAAGGCTTTCAGGCAAAAAGGGCGTATATAGCATTTTGGGCAGATTTTTATTTTTTGCAGGATCAAGCTAATTTTTGGCAGACTGACTTGTTTTGACATGAAAATCATCGTTGTGTAATTGATTTTGTTGATATGCACTTTGTTTTCGAGAAATAACGTTTGCAAAAAAACTCAGTTTTCTGAGCAGCATCTTTTGGAGCGAATCCTTCGAAGGTGGATTTTGACGTGGCGCAAACTTGAACGGTTACTTTTAGCAGCTTTGACGGCGCATTTTTTTTTTAAATAGATGTTTAGATTTTTGAAAGAAGTAGAGAAATAGACCGGAAAAAAAAAATCGACGGACCTCGTATCGAGCCGGTTTCACAACAAAACAAACTTGAATCTGGTCTGTTCAGTGCTGTATTCGCTTGTGCTAACGAAGCAACAGTAAGAGAATTGCATAATTATATGAATGATAAAACTAGCGGCTAATACCATGCTTCGGTGACTTCGTGGTTTCTTTTGTTTTTCACTCAATGAAAGACCTCCAAAAGATACCATTGGAAAACTGGGTTTTTGGCATACATTATTTCTCGAAAATGAAGCGCAAATCAACAAAAACAATTATGCAACGATGCTTTTCATGTCAAAACAAGTCAGTCTGCCAAAAATTAGCTCAATTTTGCAACAACAAAAAAATCAGCCCAAAATGCTATACACAACCTTTTTGCACGAAAGTCTTCAATTATTACCAGTATAAGATTGTAGCACAGAAAAAATTTCCAATCAAAAAAATAATGGTGTTGTTACAAACCTGAACTGCCCAGAAGGAATGTCTGCTGTAAACAGGCTGTTTCTAGAATCTCTTAGATTTTCTCTCAACTTTTTGTCCAGTGCCTAAAACACATACATGTATTATAAAACTTAAAAAATTTTTGTTTTGAAATGCAGCTGTGTTAATATTAATACCATCCATGCATACTAGGGTGACTGAAGGTGGCAACCACATAATTCACATATGAAATTCTGTACCAATTTTAAAACAGTTAACACAACAAAATTTAAAATCAGGCTGTCAGCTATTTTCAAGTCAAGGGCATAAGATTTTTTAGCCAGAGGGTGCGAGAATTTTCAACTACAACCCAATCATATCCAGAAATCATCATTGATACGGCTTTTTCTTTTCTTGCATTGTCCAAGATTTGTAATTCTTTGAAAGTGTCAGTTAAGGTTGCAATTAAACGTTTTAAACTGGGTAGGAACAGGCCTTGAAAAAAGTGCCATCCAGTCATCCAAGAGCAGTAGATTTTCCTGGCAGGCAAGAAACTTTTCATTCTTACTTCCTTGATGGCCAAGGGCCCAGGCAAGTTGTCAGTCAACTAAACTTAAAAAAGAAAGCTGACTTGCCCAGGGCAAGCAAAATTTGAGAGCTGCTTATCCAAAAGGGAAGTCTTTTTCAAGCCCTGCAGATGGTGGCATGAAATCATACCACATTTTTGACCCACAGCCAAGAGAGCTGGGAAGTACAGAGTATATAATCTTGCAGACAGTTTACAGGCTATGATAATAAAAAACATGTATCATACCTCTGCTACCATTTCTGCAGCATTGCCTTTTGGACATCTGATAATTGGCACAGTGCCTAAAAGAAAANCACAATAGTAGACCAAGGGCATTTGATCATGTGATTAAGGCTGTATAACAACTGAACTTACCAAGACATCATGTACTAAAGCTTGATATGTCCATGTGTGGTGTAATGGAGTACACAGATCCATGTTACGATCTAAAATTACCAACACTGGTCGTTGAAAACTGAAGTTTATAAAACAAAAACAAAAAGTTACCCTTGAAATGCTTTGACATGAAGGCAAACAAAAGAAAGAGCATGTTCCAATACTAGGCATACAGCAATAATCTAAGGCTTTCAGGCAAAAAGGGCGTATATAGCATTTTGGGCAGATTTTTATTTTTTGCAGGATCAAGCTAATTTTTGGCAGACTGACTTGTTTTGACATGAAAATCATCGTTGTGTAATTGATTTTGTTGATATGCACTTTGTTTTCGAGAAATAACGTTTGCAAAAAAACTCAGTTTTCTGAGCAGCATCTTTTGGAGCGAATCCTTCGAAGGTGGATTTTGACGTGGCGCAAACTTGAACGGTTACTTTTAGCAGCTTTGACGGCGCATTTTTTTTTTAAATAGATGTTTAGATTTTTGAAAGAAGTAGAGAAATAGACCGGAAAAAAAAAATCGACGGACCTCGTATCGAGCCGGTTTCACAACAAAACAAACTTGAATCTGGTCTGTTCAGTGCTGTATTCGCTTGTGCTAACGAAGCAACAGTAAGAGAATTGCATAATTATATGAATGATAAAACTAGCGGCTAATACCATGCTTCGGTGACTTCGTGGTTTCTTTTGTTTTTCACTCAATGAAAGACCTCCAAAAGATACCATTGGAAAACTGGGTTTTTGGCATACATTATTTCTCGAAAATGAAGCGCAAATCAACAAAAACAATTATGCAACGATGCTTTTCATGTCAAAACAAGTCAGTCTGCCAAAAATTAGCTCAATTTTGCAACAACAAAAAAATCAGCCCAAAATGCTATACACAACCTTTTTGCACGAAAGTCTTCAATTATTACCAGTATAAGATTGTAGCACAGAAAAAATTTCCAATCAAAAAAATAATGGTGCTGTTACAAACCTGAACTGCCCAGAAGGAATGTCAGCCGTAAACAGGCTGTTTCTAGAATCTCTGAGATTTTCTCTCAACTTTTTGTCCAGTGCCTAAAACACATACATGTATTATAAAACTTAAAAAATTTTTGTTTTGAAATGCAGCTGTGTTAATATTAATACCATCCATGCATACTAGGGTGACTGAAGGTGGCAACCACATAATTCACATATGAAATTCTGTACCAATTTTAAAACAGTTAACACAACAAAATTTAAAATCAGGCTGTCAGCTATTTTCAAGTCAAGGGCATAAGATTTTTTAGCCAGAGGGTGCGAGAATTTTCAACTACAACCCAATCATATCCAGAAATCATCATTGATACGGCTTTTTCTTTTCTTGCATTGTCCAAGATTTGTAATTCTTTGAAAGTGTCAGTTAAGGTTGCAATTAAACGTTTTAAACTGGGTAGGAACAGGCCTTGAAAAAAGTGCCATCCAGTCATCCAAGAGCAGTAGATTTTCCTGGCAGGCAAGAAACTTTTCATTCTTACTTCCTTGATGGCCAAGGGCCCAGGCAAGTTGTCAGTCAACTAAACTTAAAAAAGAAAGCTGACTTGCCCAGGGCAAGCAAAATTTGAGAGCTGCTTATCCAAAAGGGAAGTCTTTTTCAAGCCCTGCAGATGGTGGCATGAAATCATACCACATTTTTGACCCACAGCCAAGAGAGCTGGGAAGTACAGAGTATATAATCTTGCAGACAGTTTACAGGCTATGATAATAAAAAACATGTATCATACCTCTGCTACCATTTCTGCAGCATTGCCTTTTGGACATCTGATAATTGGCACAGTGCCTAAAAGAAAACATTGATCCAAGCAAAAAACTTTTTAACCACCCTCTAATTAAAATTCATCTGCGCTTTTGTCAACACTTTGCTACCAACTCAGTGATCATTAAACATGAAAGATAACAATAATATTAATCAGAATAAATTTTTAGTTCCTATGATAATTCTCTAACCTCATCCCCATGGATGGGATGCTAGTCCATAAATTCAAGTATGTTCCTGAATTCATTTAATTCAACTATGTTCTTTCAGCTTAATTGTTTATTTTCCGCTTCATTACTGTTTTAGAAAATAAGCTTTTGCAACACTATAATCACTATGCTCAAGCAAATAAAGCTAATGCTGTTGATATGTATACACCTAGGTGTAGAGAGGTCCTGTGAGAGTAACGTGTCTTGCTCAAGAACACAAAACAGTCCCCAGCCAGGGCTCAAGCCTAGACTGCTTGATTCAGAGTCCAGTACACTAAACATTAGGACATTGCATCTCTCACAAGTTTTGCAAGGCTTTAACAGGAATAACTGACCTAAAGACACAAGTACACTGAAGAGACTGTCCACTATGACATCTCGAAGCATTTCAATGTCTGTATCCTTTGCATCAGGTCTGTTAAGTGCTGCACAATAAAAGACAATGATATTGTAGTTAATTTTTTATCTCAGTTAATTTTTTATTTCAAATATACATTGTACATGTGGTTTGTGTTCTTCAGGTGAGCTAATTTTTTTTTTAATACATCCCAGTCCATAATAATAGTTCCTCTAAAACTTTGGAGCACTAGACAAGAGAATGTCGCCATTTAGCAGATGACCTTCAGCCACTGCATGCCAATGGCTCAAAGTGTAAGACATTTCAGCAAATCAGATTGCAGCATTTGCATTTTAATATGCTCGTAGAATTCTTGTAAAAGATAGCAGACTGTAGTGACTTATCACTACCACAATCTTACCGTAGTACGATATTGAATCTCTGTCTTGGTTTCTCACTGTGAACATTTCATCTTCCAAAGAAATAAAATTTAAATACTGATCAAAAACCTGCAAAGAAAAATATACTTCCTTAATTTATAAAATTTCATTTTGAAGGTAAAAAAAGAATTTTCATGGAAAGTTTTCTTTTCCAACCAAACCCTCCAGACAATACAAAGGAAAGTGCATAAAATACATTTTTTTTCAGACAAATTGTGACCAATTTTTGTTGTTTTGGGAAGAAAACATTCCATATTTGATGCATTTTTGTGTTTGAATTGGCAAAGCTCTACTTTGAACAACTCCCTTTAGGGTCAAGAAGGTAAAATTGGCAATATCCTTGATCTTGATTTTTTTTTAAGTTGTCATCTCTGCATCGGGTCGGCAAGGTTCAACGTCCCTCTTGTATATCTGGGTGGAAAGAGGTACATACAGACTGCTGTGTCAGCAGGTAACCATTAGTCCAATGTGCCTCTTGTTTTTAAAAGGACTCAATAATAATATCTGGGAAGTAACATAATACCTTGGTGATCTGAGTGACGCTGTTTGACTGAAGAGCTGCTGTGGCAAGATCCTCTAATCGATGTCTTGATATAGCAGAAATAAAATTCAGGTAGTAGGACTCATATAGTTGATTTCTACAATCCTACAAAAATAAAATAAATAAATGTGTATAGGGTGTTAAGATGATAATTTATTTTCTACCCCTATGGAGAAGAAACACGGATTGTTCAAGGGAGAGCAGGTTGGTGATCTACAGTTATTACCAAGTTATTGTAACAAAATATTAATTACTAAAATCAGGTATATAAGAATTGGCAAGGCGGATTTATTTATTATTTTAAACATAGAAAAAGTTGGAAACCAATGAAAATAATCAAACCTGGCATATTCTTTTCACATTTTCCTCAGTCGGAAGAACAAAATAAATAGCAGGCACTTCAGGTATTGCATCTCTATCAGAATGCAGAAGACTGTGAAAACATGTAAACATCAATCTGAGTTAGTCTGTTGATAAAATAGTACTGTTTTGTAATAAAATGAGTAGTGCAGAAATGGACTTAAATTGATGCAAGGGATTTTAGAGAAGGCAATCTTAATGAGATGGATGTTACATAGTTTTTGATGACATTACTACAAAAAAATTAAGAATTTCACTACAACATTAAAGCTTTCCAATCCCATTTATCCTTAAGAGTTATTACCAATTTCCGGATGTTGCCATTAGTTGGTTAGTATTTAGTCTATTTATTTGAATGTATGTTCCTGGACTAAGACACGGTCAAGGTCCATAAACACATGCAAAAGAAGAACAAGGCCAATATCCAGCCATCCAAACCAAACAAGCTTGCTTGGCAACTGACTCTTTTCTAGGGCATAAAGAACACCATTTTCTTATGAGAAACAGCAGGTAATCCCGAGTAGGAAAGATAGCACCATATTACCCAATCAGGTAGCCAATCACAAAACAAGATTTGACTCACCTTGCCTGCTTATGGAGCCAGCCATACAATAAATTCAAATAATGAATAAAAAAATTGTCACTCTCAAGATGCCAACTGCTAATAATAATTATAAGCATTTATTAAATTATATCTTTTTACATAAAGTTAATTCAACTCACAGATGCAGAGTTATGCCCATTTCACGCAACTCCTTTACATTTAGCAATGGAGAGATAATGTCCTGGCCATATCGATCATAAACAAGAACCTGTATCAATGAAAAAAATTTCCTCAGATTTAAAAGCCCTGTATGTGGACATCTACCAAAGGCATTTGGTAAGCTTTAAATGCAGTCAAAAATAACAAATTGTCTATATTTTGCAAGCTGTGTGAGGCATGATATGCTGTCCTAGTATAAATTATGGTTGATGAATGTGTTGAAGTTCAGACCTAGTGGCTTGGATGCAAGTTCAATCATTATCGAGTTTATTTGCCCATAATACACTTATCTTTGGCTTTCCAGGGGGTTAACCCCTGAGACACCCTTGGGGAAACCTCACGAACATGCCAGGAATAGCACATTTTTGAAAAAATATTTGCCCCTTAGGGTAGGAACATTGTTTGGTTTATGAAAGGAATGCACATACGGAATTTGACATTGGTCAGTGGTATGTCACTTTCAAAATCCCAGATGAACATGTACATACAGATGAGCGACCTTGCTGCCATTTGTATGACATTTTGTGGAGGTCTTCAGGGTTTATTGCATGTTTGCTCTTCATCACGCCGTTGAACAAAGCCTGAGACATGGTTGGAGAAAAATAAAGTCTGTAATTGCTGACAGTTTCGAAGAACAAGAAAAAAGCGAAAAAAAAAATAAATTTGTCTGCTTCTATTGCAACTGACGGTATTCTGTCCTCAGCTTAGCCTCTGGGGAAGGGGAAATTGGTGTAAACTTTATGCACTATACCCCAGGTATTTAACAGATTTTTGTTTGATTCTGACAGCAAATCTCCGGTGGTGTCCCGGGGATCAACCCCGAGAAATCCAGTGATAAGTGCATAATTTGTTGGATTCTTACCTTCCAGACCGGTTCGACTGCGGTTGATTTTGTGAGTGGCTGATTTAGGTTCAGCATACGCCTCAAGGAATCTAAAATGAAATAATTAAATATAATCCCGGAGCTTAATCTTCAAACATTAAAATTTACAAATTTTGTGCCCGTGACAAAATAATAGTCGTGAAATGGATTTCGCTCAAGTTTAATGGATGACCGCATTTGATAGAATTTATATCTATCAAAGAGCGCGATCTTCATGCTTATACTTCTACATCAAGATAATAGATATCATATCTGAATATATATCTGGGTTCACAATACAGATCTAACGATAGGAAGGTACAAAATATTACTATTTTTTACCTATCTGTCTCGCACGTATGCTGGCCGCCATCTTGAATTTTCCAGGGAAAACGCATGCGTAGTTTCAATGCCTACGTGTCTGCTCGCCCCAGTCTTCCAAGTGCACGCCTCGTCTTGTTCTGGAGGTTGATTTTCGGGCGTACAAGGACCTGCAAATTAACGCGTTTTAAGGCCAATGCCACACCTCAGGAACTACGTACAGACATGTATATTAAACTATCTCAATTTGTTATGTTAATCCCCTTTTCAAATGTTCTCTGACTGTGCCCTTGTAGTTCTTGAAAGAATTGACCCTGTCACGTGACCGTGTCAATCGTAAAAAATAATTGGGCGGTGTCGCCAGAAATTAAAAGAGCAGATCGTAATTTGGTAACAGGAATGTAATATTTAGCCTCGAATCGAACAAATGGCCCCTCAGAACTGGTTGTAAGTCAAATTGGAGTCCGCTAAATGAGTTGACTCAGTAAGCTGAACACGAAATTTCATCGCATTTCGAAAGCCAGATCAGAGCATAACTAGACAGAGGCCAAACGGTCTTTATTGACAAAACCCTTTCAGTTTTTATCATAACCAAGAGCAGGCGTGCTGGACGTGCCACACAATCAAGGTCAAGGTCAACTTTATTTAGGCAGGGTGGCCCAATCAGCACTTGGCTGGTATCAAAAGGGGCCCTGCGTAAATTAAGACTACATTAAATTTCT